CTTGGTCTTTATACCTTCGAGTAAAGGATGGGCCTATATGCAGCTTATCTAAAAGATAGATGTCTTTTCGAATGTTAACTGGAAGTGAGGAGGGAGACCGATGTACATTTTTGAAAATTATTGAGTGAAAATGCGTAATTCTACAAGGAACAAACTCTTAACAGATTAAATTTCGCAATTACGCATGCCTGTTATCGGAAGCATATTTTTAGGCAAGTAAGGTTCGATCACCGAATTACATTGAGTTTTACATTCGGATGCGATTTGTATTGCCTTTGATAGCTTGCATTCCATAAAAACATAACTTGCAAATTATATGAAGGAGGCGATTGTCAAAGACAGGGAGCAAAAGAGTGATGAATGAGGGCGAGAGAAGAGCACGAGAAAGAAAAGAAAATCAAAATACATAGCGAGATAAAATATAAGAGAGAATAAGTATATACCAAGCTTTTGGAAGACTGGCTCAGCCATTTGGCAAATGAGAATTCGTAAGCCGCGTTCAGCTGTAGAAACATGTTGAACTGCTTTTAAAACAGAATTCAGATCTGCGGCCTCAATAAGATCAAGACCATCACTAGTGTAAGTGGCTTCCTGGATGAGAATTCGTAGCTGACTCAAGCCACTAGCGATGCTACTCCATACCATGTAGTTGGACTCTTCAGTAAAGGCACGAAGCAAGTCAAGCACCACAGTGATGCTCTGGTATCCGGCACGCGCCTTTCAATCGGGATTAATGAAGCAAAAGAATGAGGGAAATAAAAATCACAAATGCCAACAAAAGCATCATATTTCATCACAGAAATGGCGATTAGTTTGGTAGCTAGATAAGAATGATGAATATTAAATTTTTTAAAATATGAGATGCTAATGAACAATAATGAAGTATTAGGAAACCAAAATAGTCAATTTATTTTGTTCAGTGTTTTTCCTGGGACGAATAAAATAAACTAACTGCTGAGTGAGAAAAGGCAAAATGACCGACAATCAACTTATCGCGTCTTTCCTTGTGGGAAAAAAGAGCCAACGGCTATTTTGTATGGGCATTAAAATAGAGACGTGTCAAAGATATTCTCAATTTCAAATAACCAACAAATGAATATACAGAAATGAATAAATCTTCTTAATAAAAGAATACTCAGAAAGCATAGATACATCTATGTTGGAACAACGTAGATTATAGGTCATGTTAACGTTATAATGCCTGAGAACTGAAGTATAGCGAATCAAGAGGACATGCGTTTTACGCATTTTGAGTATGTTAAGTGTCATTCAGGCCGAAGCTGGACGGAATTTCCAAACTTACAGAGTTCTATTGAATATATGAAGTCCAAGATGTTGTGGCCTGTGGTGTGGTCGCAGTCTCCTTTCGATTGATAGAAGTGGGTTGACCTCGTTGT